AATGGTATTAAAGAAAATGAAGGTGACTCCATTAATTTTATTTGATACTTAGTTACATCAGGTGTAACAGAGTTACTGTGTTTTGCTCTAAATTTGAGACTTGCTACCTTAGTGTGTCAATTCAGGGGAGACCTAATGGTGAGGTAGGTCACCTATTCAACACTGGCAGCGTGTAGCTCCTAGTAATCTAAAAATAGATGCATGGGAGTTGTTACTAATGGAAACTTAAACCTTTACTGCCTTTCAGGAGTGCCTATGTCTGTCCTGATTTTTAAAATGAAAAGAAAATAAGAGATTAAGAGTGTTCACCCCGGAATATCTAAGGAAGTCTCCATGGAAACAGTGTACCTAGCAGTAAGAAGTACTTTTGAGAGTAAATGGCTGACTGCTGAGCTATGTTTGAAATATAAATTATTAAATGAATAAAACCTTTATGAAAATAATGTGCAATTACCTTCTGGATACAGTACTCTGAAGTCAGTACTGGAATTTGGAATTACTGTGAAGAACGGAAGCTGTGTCTGTGTAGGCAGGATCCCAGGTCTGAACTTCTGCACTCTTTTCCTTTTCAATAGAAGTGGGAAGTCAGTACTGCAGAGCTCGGGGCCGGGGCGTGTGGGGATGTATGACGGGGAGAAGACCTTTCCCCGCACCCCCATGTCCCCAAGCCGAGGGTGCACCTGCGGGAGCGGGGCAGTCCCCGGGAGCAGCGGCAGGCACAGCACTGCCTCGGCTCTGGCTGCCAGTGGCTGTTCCTGAGTGACAGCGGCCGGCTGAGTTCACCCGGGAGATGAAGAGCATGTGAAGAGTTATGGAGGGGCCGGACGCTGGGACGGAAGGGATGTTGGGACCGTAATGCGCCGGGGAAGCCTCAGCTGAAGTTAATGGAAGAATAGCATCTGCTGCGTGCTTGGGGACAGGAGGAGCAATGCTGGTGGTCTGTCATTGTTGAAGATGTCCCTGCTCGTCACAGGGGAATTGGACTAGAGGACCTTTAAAGGTCCCTCCCAAACTTTACTATGATTGTAATGTACTCCTATGTGGTCTGCATCTGTTTCCCCAGTGCTCTCTCTCTCGTGTGTCCCTGCCTGAGTTTTCAGCTGACAACTCTTTGTCGTTGGAAGCATGAAACAGTAATACCTTTTTCTCGTTAAGAGTTCAAAAAAATGCAATTAAAATTAATATTTTCCCTTCTTTAAAAAGCATCAAAATATCCCAACCAACATTATTGAGAATTATCTCAAAATCAGGTAAAAGTGTTGCAAGGCTAATATAAATTCTTCAGCTCTGCTTTTAATGAATGGTTAGATGAGTTAAGAGTTGTGTGTAAAGTTTTACAGGCCTTACTAAGTTTATGGTATCATTGGTAAATGTGGCATTGTTATGAATACAAATGTGTTTGTACCTTTTAGTCCTACTTCACTAGCTTTATTATCCCAACCTAAAATAAGAGAACTGTTTGGGTTTGGCTTGTTTTTTTTTTCTTGTCTTTTTGGTTGTGGGTTTTTGGTTTTTTTTCTTACTATCTATAGAATTATTATAATAGCTTTGTATAACTGAAGAAAAAGTTGGTGATTTGTTGTGTGGTTTTTGTTTTGTTGTTCCTCCCCATGTTGTTCTTGTAACTTCAAGAAGTTCTATTTCAGTCCTAGGATCCCTATTCTGTTCAAAGACATACAAAAATCAAAAGGATGTTATCAAAACCAAGAACTTACAGAGTGCGTATATTAGATCAGAAATAAAATTTGACACTGGGAGATGATGTGAACATAGCAGTCAACACAGACACTAGTCTGTCTTCTTAATCAATAAAGATTGATTTCCTTCCTTCACTGTGGTATGTGTAAAATTAATAGTCAAAACACTTATTCTTCTAAATCACTTTTCAAATCTTTTTACTATGAGGCAGCTTAATAGATGTTTGAACTACTTTCAGATACATGAGAATAAATAGCATGAAAGTATATGATCATTTCAGAATGTGGAGACAGGTGCTGTAGTCCTTGGGAAGTAGAAACTCCCCTTTGCATCCTGAGAGGGGACCACTTAGAAGGATATGCAACTAAAGCCAAGCAGCTTGTGTTTGACACCATAAGGAATATGAGAAAAGTGAACATGGTCTAAGCAACAGGTTGGAAAGGGTTATTTTTGTAGTAGCTCTCTGAAGAGATGAAAACAGGAAAGGTGGCACAGCCATATAAAGTGTTTTCATTTGTTACAAGATCACAGTCCAAAGGAGAATGTCATTTGTGTAGATGAGGAGAAAACTTAGCTGTATTCCAAAAATAATAGAAAGCTTCATTTTAGCTTCCTGTAATTTAGAGGGATAAATTGAAGATCCTCCTTTGGCATTGCACCAGTGTTTCAGGTAATACAGGGGTATTGTTTGTGATTAAGGTAAAGAGGCAAAGGGAGAATTTGTAGAAGGGGTATTCTTAAGTCATGTTAACAGCTAGATGTGCATGAGGAGCCATCAGGTTTGTATGTTCAGGCTTTGGCCAAGAAGATACAAGTCTAGCCAATGCTAATGTTCTCTCATAAACTTCATATATATGTATATATAGTCTCATATTAAAATAAGAGGAGTTCCTTTTTTTCTGCAAACCTGCTCCATAACAGGCATCTCACAGGGTCACATCCTCCTTCAAGCATCCACCTGCTCTGGCATGGGGTTCTGCATTCTGGATTCATTCACAGACCTTTCAACTCCAGTTCAGACTAAAGTTCCAGCCTGTCCAGTACAGCAGGATAGAACAGCAGCCACCACACTCTGGCCACGTTCCATCTTTGGAGGCACATCTGAATGGCTGTACTCAAAGCATTCCCAGGCACAATACAATAAGGTGATAAAGCAAAATACAGTAAACAAAAGCAAAATGTGCCTACTAAAAAGCAGTAGATTCAAAATACAGTCACAAAAGTAAGCCCCATGGCAAGAGACAGGAGCCTGCTCATTACCAGCTAAACAGCACTAGCAAATATAAATTCAGTCTAGCACATCCTAGAATAATTAATTCTTGAAACTTGTTAGCTAAAATACACATTTTAAGCTAAAATACGCATTTTAAGCTAAAATACACATTTAAATACACACTAAAATCAGGGAAGCTTTGAAGCATATAACCTGAAATTAAATTCAGTCTTCTAATGGAGCAAAAAATAATTATTTCCTTCACACTTCTTATGCTAAAGTTATTAACAAAAATAAAAATTGAAAAACCAACTCTCCAAATCCCCCAACAAACAAAAGCCCACTGCACCTTTTGGACCAAACTAGAATCTTTCTCATATGTTAAGAACTAGTTAAAACATGTACATTCAATTTCTTACCAAAAATCTCCCTCTTCCCTTAAACTGAAAAGCTGGAGGATAGAGGTTTCTCTGAATTGCTATTAGTGGAGGACATGAGGAAGTACTGGTTCTATTTGAAGCAAAGGGATTCTAAAGATTTCCCAACATCATCTACTGCTGTAGGCAAACTTCCATGTGGTTGTGGGGTAAAGGAAAAATCTGTAAGTAGGAAATCTGTAAGTTTTCTTAACTAGCAAGAATTTTTTCTAAATACTAGTACTTTATTTTTTCATAAGTTTACTGTGAGTGCTGCACATCTTATATTAGGTGTTGTGGATGGCATTTCATCATTTACAGAATTTGCTCTACCATCTTCAAGTTGCTGAATGAGATCCTATATTCTCTGGCTCCCATGTTCAGGTTGTTTTCTCCAGTGGTATTTTTCAGTATCTTAAAAAAGACTATTTTATTTAATGGCAAGGAGTTCACTGCCTACTACCAGCTTCCATACAAGACATTGCAATTTTTTTTTAAATTTTAATCTAAAGCAAATCTTTTTATTTGCTAGAGGACTCACTGTTTTCTTCCCTCCCTCCCCTGTTTTTTTCATGGGGGCTTAAAATGTCTTTTGCTGTAGTGTGCTTTATCAAGAAGATTGTAACCTGTCATCTGTGTACACTCTTTATACATCAATGTATAAGAAAAGTACAACAAATTCTATTAAAGGACATTTAATACAATCTATGTTGGAGCTTGCTGACAGAAGGAAGTTGCCAAGCCCAGGAGTATGAATGATTGAGAAATACCAGTCCTCTCCCCTTCTTATGAGCTCTCATTCAGCAGACTGGAAATGGCATTGTTTTATTGCTTGCTCAGTAGTGGTTGATCTCTAGTGCAAATTTTAATAACTTATGTTTTGGTTTGTTAACTGTATTAAAATAAATGCGTGGAATAATCTACACTTAGAACTGGTTTTGCAGTCCTGTGTTGAAATTGCTGGCACGGATTAAAGATTTCTTTGAAATTGAAAGCCTTACATTTTGCAGTGCTACATGACCACTTGCAGCTTCGAAGCACGCTAAGAAAAATTTCTGGCTGTAAGGGGTAAGGTGTGACATTTAAAATTTGTGCATGGAGATGATTCTTGATTTTGGCATCAAGAAGGCTGTCCTATAGATAACCTGATGCCTCTCACCTGCTTCCTTGGCTGCGTAAGTTCCCGTCGGACTTCAGCTTGTAGACAGGACAGAGATTTGTAAATTGGTCCCGTGTCACGTTTGCCTCACGAAACTGAAACTTCTGAAGATGCCCTGAAGACTGCCGAATTCTTGGAAACTTGTCAGAAAAACAAAAGTTTGGCATTTCAAGCCAAACTGAACGGCGTTATCTTACTTACAGTGTTAAGCCTATTTCTAGCAGTTCCCCAAAGCGCTGTATTTTTTTTTCGTGTTTTGGGGTCGAAATTTCTCCCCTACCATGCCAGCGCTTCTTTTGCCTTTGGGTTTCTCCTCCGCAGACGGCACTCCCGCACCCCGGCTGTGTGTGGTAGGACGGCGATGTTCCCCCTTGCCCCCAGCCCTGCCAGCGCTGGGCAGTGCCCTCCTGCTGCCTCCCAGGGCGTGGGGGCCCCTCCTCGGGCAGGGGCCGGGCGGGCCGGGGGAGGGTCCCGGCGGGCGGTGCCTGCCCCCGCGGCGGCGGCTCGGGGCGCCTCGGCCGCGTCCCTGCGGCAGCTGGCGGCCGTCGCGGGCCATGGGGGGAAAGAGCTTCCTCCTCGGCGTCCTGACCGCCAGCATCCTGCTCCTGGCCGCCGCCTCGGAGGGTGCGGAGCCGCCGCCGAGCTGCGAGGCGGTCCGGAAAGTTTTCCAGCTGCGGCGGCTCGGCCCGCTCGGCGGCGTCCCGGAGTTCCCGCGGGCAGGTAAGGCAGAGCTGGCGGGGCAGGAGGCACCGGGAGCGGCGGGGCCGCCGGGTCTGGATTCGGTGCCGCCGGCGGGTGGTGCTGGTGGCCGGCTGGACACTGCCGGTCCATCGGGTGCCCCGCTTTGTAGCGACATCGCGGCTGGCCCCTTACTCAAGAGAGAAAGCGCTCTTCTCGGGCTGTGGGCACTGGGGCACACCGACACCTGCCTGAAACCCCCTCATGCCCACCCTCTTCCCCTCCGTACCGCGCAGAGCAGAGCGAGCCCGCTTCAGCGGGGGTCGCGCTGCCTCCGGCCGGCCGTGGCAAGCACAGGTACATCGGAGGCCGGGCACAGCCGCCGGGCTGCCTCTGGGGCTGCTGGAGTCACCCGGCTGAGAAACGAGAACGGCTTACACCCTGCCAGTGCTCGGGCTGCGCGTTTTCCGTGCTGGGTATCTGCCTGTCACTGGAACGTAATGGAAGAAAATTCCCGGGAAAGTAGAGTCTTCATGGCATTTTGAGTATATCTAGCATTTATATCAGCAGTGATTTTTTTTTTCTTTTTCTTTTTTTTTCATCACGTTGCAAAGCACGTATATAGTAAGGTGTAGGTTTTTAGGTTTGAGGTTTTGGTTCCAAGTTTGTGAGAACCTCAGTTGAACCCAGAGAACTAAAATGCAAGTATTTTAGTGATCAGCGATGTAGGATGTGAAAACAGCTTTTTTTTTACCCATCTGTAAAGTGTGTTCATGTTTAGATGACAAGTTAACTAGTAAATGTGAGTCTGTCCTTTTTGGACAGAAAATGCAACAAAAGCTGAGTTAATGTTCCCCTCACTTTAAAATATCAATAACTAACCTCATTTTTTTAAAGATAATTTGTGTGGTTTTTATTAAGTTTACAAGTTGAGATAAGGCGTGCTAGGTTTATTTTAAAGGAAGCCCTCCAAAGTAGAGCTTTTAATAACTCTAGCTTTAAATTTGACTGATAATGCTTAACACAGTCAATATTGCAGTGTGTGTTTACAAATTGGAGTATGATATTTATTACCAGTACATTTATCAACATGCATGGTTGTCTTCTTGTGTTGTCCTAACCTGAAGATTTTATAATTGTCTGTGATAAAAAGAAAATAAACACTTCAATTGGAAAGCCTGATGAGACAGGTGTGCAAATGAATGTGTCTGGAAAGTGAAATCTGAGTTACAGCCCTGTTGGTGATTTAGTTTTTTGTGCTGATTATTTGTGTGAATAATCTCAGTATGAATGATATTTTATCATTTTATCTATATTCTTCTCATTCCATAGCCTAGTGTAAATTTTATGCTTTCTCTGTTATTATTTTTGATTACTGTGCCATTCATTTGTGTACTAGGGATAGGGAGGAAATATGTTGACTCAAGGGAAAAGAACTATAGTACCTTATATATGCTTCTTCTGCTCTGCTCCTCTGATTTCCTCCTTTCCCCTATAATATTTTTTATACCACCACTCACTGTTTTCTTTTGATTTTGACTTTTCTGCGTTTCCTGTTTGAAGGAGTTGTATTTGAATTGTAAGAACATAAAAGAATTCCTTTCTCTGCTGCTGCCCTTACAAAAAGTGGGCAGCAGGAGGTGTGGTACAGCTGCATGGTCAGCAGCCTTTCACTCTTTGAAGGAATTACATTGCTGTGGACAGCCAGAGTTCTTATTCTGAGTAGCATTGATGTGAAATATCATGAAACAAATAATTGCAAAAAGTAAAATCTGTCCAGAAGTGGCAGTGACAAGAAAATGGGGATTAAATTAGTATTTTAGAAGATTTAGATGTGATTAAAGGTATTAGTAGGCTCAAAGTGTAATGGGAAGAGAAATGTCAGTTTTTTGCTACTGGTCTTCTGTATTAAGCCTTCTTTTGAGGCAAGATGTAAAACTATTTTAAAGCCTTTTCTGATGGCACTAGGAAATGTGTTTATGTATAAGATGCACACATGCACCCGTACAACACACATGTTTCTTGTAGGTGTTCACTTATGAAAACAGGTGTCCAAGCTGCCTTTGCAAAGTTTAATTTTGGTGCTGAGATGTGGGCATCTAGCTGCATTTTAATTTTCTTAGGGTTTCCATAATGTTCCCAGTGGGGTTGACAGAAGTCTGGGAGACTGGATAACTCTGGGAAACTTACATCTTTCTGGTAGTGGAAACTTACTGGTAGTGCAGTGTGCAGTGGGTGGGATACCTTTGGCAGCTCAGGTGCTCCTTGTGGGCAGCCACAGGGAACAGCCAGTGCAGCCTGTGGCATCTTGGAGCTACTCCATTATCAAATGTTGGTGTTGTCTTCAGAATGTGCTGCATAAATGCCTCTACAGCATTGCCTCTGTGTCTTTATTTTAGTGGTACCTTAGACATAAGTTAAGAACACTTTCATTTAAATGTCTTAAGCTGAGTCTTTGGGGTAAAGCATGATCACCAGCTGAAGAACAGCAGGAATGCTGGTTGATGTATGGTTTTGTATGCAGTGGAAGTCAATAAAATTACAGGGTTTGTATTTGCCTTGTTTTTGTTGCATGTATAAAAAAAGGCTGTACCAATCCCCTTCTTTCCTCTTCTTAGTAAGAATAAAACCAGCAGGCTTATATCAGTAAATCATGCAGATTCTAGTTCCGGAGATTGTCATGTGTCTGCATTTTGAATATATGTTAGCTCAAAAACCTATGCATTATTTTATATAATTAGTTTTGCAGCTATTGTATAAAGGTTGCGTATGTTTAAGTGAGAAAAAAATACCTCTGTCATCCTATGCAGAAGTGACATATATATGTACATGAAGGTGATCTTGAGAATATGGAAACTACAAATTTGAGTTTCTGTTAACATCCACATAGGACAGGATACAATAGTGTTGAAAATGGCAACTAATAATCAAGATAAATTAATATATTTACCAATCCCAAGATACTTATTTCTACTGCTAGCAATCAAGACATTTGACTAACTGTTCTTGGTCTTTTGTAAGTGTGATTTGGGAGCTATAGTACAGACTTATACTCAGCCCCATCACATGCTATATTGGAACACTGATTGCATTCGTGCTGATTTTAAGTGTTAAAAAAGTACTTTGTGTTTTCCTGTCTGGTTCTTTGCAACAAGTACAATTTTGGTGGGACTGTACTGAATAACCTTAGTAATTAAGAATCCTAAAAGGCACTTTTTTTTGCTGTATGAAGAATGAAATAAATATAAAAAGTACTCAAAGGTTCAGTCTGGAGTTTTTTTATTTTTATTTTTGTGGATAAATATGACTTGGATTATTTGGAAAAAAAAAAAGAAATTGTTGTCTGCAAAATTCTTTTAAACATATTTTTATTTCCTGTGTTCAAGTTATTGTATATAATTTCTGGTATTGTAACCAAAGCAACTTTTTTGAAGATTTCCTCTCTTTTAAAGATTTACACTCTTTTGCCCTATATGCTAGTAAATCTAGAGCTTTTAGCTAATTTCAGCAGTTCATTTTTTTTTCAGAGAGATTAAATGGGAGCTCTGAGCTCTTCTTGTTACCTTGCTTGCAAATAATATTTATTCTCTGGTTTCTGTCCCTCAGAATACCTAGAACAGAGAAGTTGTGGATCCCCAGTCCCTGGAAGTGTTTAGGGCCAGGCTTGATGGGGCTTTGAAAAATCTGGTCTAATGAACTATGTCCCTGCCCATGGTGGAGGGTTGTAACTAGATAATTTGTAAGGTCCTTCTAAAGCAGACCATTCTATGATATGATTTTAGTAACAGCAGAACAGGATGGCTGATAAACCATTCACTCCTGTCTTCTTAACAGAGAGCCTCCAGTAGGTATTTCAGTGAACAAATTTTCAGGCTTCTGTTTGTGCCAGAAAGCTGAATTCTTTGTTTTATTGAAAAATGTTACATTTACTGTCACTGTAGAATCAAACAGTTCTCAGTGAAGTGGGGTGAAAAAAGTGCTGGAGATATTTTTTTCTCAGCAGTTTGTTTTTGGTTGGTTTCTATTTGTTTGCTTTTTTGGTTTTGGGTTGGCTTATTTTTTCAGGGATCAATCTAAGCTTCTTTTCAGCAAACATTGGAAGATCATGTGTGCAATTATGAGAACAAGAAGCATAAAAGAAAGTGAATACTGGTTATTTAAAATTTTACTGTAAAGGCTTTTTGGTAGAGAACCATTATGAATATGAAGTTGAATAAATGAGAAAAACCATGCTGGAAGGATGAGATAATGTCAGAAAAAGTTGGTCTGTGGTATTATTGTTAATTCAGGTTAAAATATTCTTGCTAATTCCCCTTAAAGTAACAATAGAAGTCAGTTTAAAATCCAGCAAGTTACTTTAATGCAATTCCAAGATCATATTTGAACTTTAATTTGGGTTTCTAGTATAATTTACATTCCAGTAATTTGGATTTTGGTTCCACCTCGAGTCAAATTATTTTTTTTTTCTTTTGTTGTATGCAGGCAGGGACACTTCTAATTTCTCTATTTGTTTAATGGGCATTCAGAGCTCTGGAATATGATTTAGTCAGAGACAGAAAGTGAATTGCTCTGTCAAATCAGTTACTGATGTTCATTATATCACATCTGTTTTTCTAAGGACTGTTGCCAACATTATAATTTTGTTTGTGTGTGAACATTTCACCTCTGGATCCACAAAATGATCGCTGTGAAAAGAAATTTGACAACATTTCGAGATCGAAATCAACAAAAAAGTGGGCTCAGCTATGTAGCAGTTCCCCTATCTCGATGTCCAGTCTTTCAGCTTCTCTAGGAAGTCATCAGTGCTCAGTGATGTTGATCTGGCGGGGTTGGCCTGAAAGGTGGTGCAGCTCAAGGACTGCCTCCTGACTCATGCTGAGTGGAACAGACAGGGTTATGTCTACATTGCTTGAGGCTGGTGTCCTGTAGAAGGAATGGACTGTCCTCACTTCATGGGATTTTCTCTTGAATCTTCTTCGGAAACAATACGATGCTTTTGTAATGCCAAGACACTGTGGGGTCCCCTTCCGTGAAATTCAAGCAGTCTCAAAAATAAGAGGGCTTTTGAGACAGGATGACATGTTTTGTTCTGTGAACTGTAGCGTGGATGTATGAAGGGATGGTTTCACCTTGCTGGAGTGCTTCTTAGTAGGCAGGAAGATGAGCTTGGAGTGTATAAGGAAGGAGCCAAACTTGTACTACCGTGTTGTCTGGAGTGCCCTTTGAGAGCAGTATATAGAATTCACCATCTTTTGATGTGCAGGTGAGAGAAATACTCCTGCTGAATAGAGCCACAGAAAAAAGTGAGCTGATAGTTCAACAGTGTTGACAGTCAGGGCCAGGTGCTTGAGGCTGATCCCCATCTCTTACTGAGCAAAGCTCAAGTACTTTACAACAATCGTAGTGGTAGCAAGTAATGCTAGATGTGGAGTCGTGCTTGTAACAAAAATAAGTTAATAAATATTAAAGGATAAGCATGAGAAGGACTTAGGTCTGATACAGGTTCCAAATCCATTTTGAAATAAACCACTCATTTGACAGCTGCATCCAAGCCATATGGCATTTCAGTGCTGGCTTTCGAAAGACTGTCATGACAGTCCTGTCTGTTTTGGGATTTTTAAGAGCCTGGAATTGATCTCCTGGAAGTCTAAATAGGCAGAAATTTACCACAGATCTGGCATTTGCTCTTCCTGGCAGTTCATGTCGTCATCTTGTCAGCATTTGTTTATTTCAAGGTACTGAAAATACAGATTTGTATAGCTGAGACCACAAATGAAAGTTTAAAATCAGTTCCAGATAGGTAAACTTGCACCTTAGAACAATTACATTTTTATTTTTGTTCTTCAGACTGTCTTTCCTATACTCATCTAGATTATTTTTAGTTTTAAAATCTTTCTTATACCATAACTGTTTACTTCAGTATATTTTTATTAGAGGCTACAGTATTTCACTTCTAGCTGTCTTGTGATCTTGTTTCAAAGTGGATCACAGTGTAGAGCCATCAGAATTTGGTACTGAAAAGAGTCAATATGCCTTTTTGGAGTAGAAAGTATTTTCTCCCTCTATTTCAAAATTTATTATTGATAAAACAGTTCTTGTGGAAGATAGAAAGTTTTTTAGATGTGAAAACTCAGAAAATAATTGTGTGGGTTTTAATATTGCTTGTACTGAAATGGAAGGACGTGTTTCACATTCTGGTTTATGTGTCTTCTGAAACATTATCTGTAAGCTGTTCCTTGTTCTGTAGATCTCTAAAAAACCAACTGGAAAACCACTCGGTGGGTTTTGAGCAACAATTCAATTTTTGGTCAGTTGGGTTCTTTGTATGTTGTATTTGGTTACTTTTTTCTGGCCAGTGAAAGCAGCTGTGTTTAATGAGCTGGAACAAAAGTAGATCAATAAAATGTACTTCATATGTACATGATTAGAAGTCTTAAAACTAAGAAACAAAATTCACTTAGGGTTGGGAATGAGATCCATGTTCAAAAGATGCTGCTTAAAAATACTTTTCATAAAATCAAGGAAATAAAATAATACTGAAGTTTCATCTGAAGCCATATACGAATATTCATTATTGTTTTTGGGTTTTGCTGAAAGTCTTCTTGAAACTATACTCAAGTCCATAAAGCCTTTATAAAATTTCAAATTAGCTTCTGTAGCAGTAATGCATATATCTTCTGCTTTAAAAGTATATCTGTATATCTATACTTGTACTTTACAAGTGGCAAAGGTTTAAAAGCTAAGCAATTATTTAAAATACTAAGAAGAGTTTAGGTAATAGACCTAACTTTTAGGTTATTTCATTTTAATATTAGACAAATATTATGCATGTCTGTGCTTGTGTACACAGGGAACTGCATGTGAAGTGACCTTGTATATTATTTGTTAATAACTAAAATGTAGAAGTTGAAAGGTCATGCAGATGAAAATAAGTTTCTCACTATGTTTCTGCGAAATCTTGTCATATCAGTCAGTGAAATAACATATTTCAGAACACAATTTGAGAACTTATTTGAGAACACAATTTGGATTGGACTAAGTTTTATATTAATATAATTTAAATTCTCATATTTATTCTTTCATGATTTGTTCTTTATATTAAAAGCATTGTTTAGATACAAAGTTAAAAAAGAAAAAGATTTTGAATATAACCACATTATAATGAGGAAGGTGAATAATGCTTTTTATGCTTGATTATGGTCCAGTTGTAACATTATAAAAGTACTGAATTTTCAATCACACTGGATGATAGTGTGCCTAAAATGAAAAAAAAAAATAAATACTCCTTTGTAGAAGTGTCTCCCAACCTATTTGGGAAGTAGGGAGTCGATGTCATGGATTCATGGGAATGTTTGGCATTAGAGAGAGACACAGTTAGGGGGATTAGACTGGAAGTTAGGACTGCTCCATGTAGAAGTTAATGTAAGCATGTTCATTATGCACCTGTCAGGAATGGGCTTTCCACTGGTGTGTTTGTAATGTTTGGAAGTATTTAGCTTTTTCTAGTCCAAGATTCACAGAAGCACGGGAGTGGCAGCCATGAGCTGCTCCAGCAGTTCAGTATTCTAGGGGATCATAGAATCACAGAGTAGTTTGTGTTGGAAGGGACCTCTAAAGGTCATCTAGTCTACAATGAGCAGGGACATCTTCAACTAGATCAGGTTGCCCAGAGCCCCATCTAAGCAGATCTTGAGTGTTTCCAGGAGTGGGACATCTATCACCTGTATTGTGATGTACAATGCATATTGAACATTTTACCAACATTAGTTAGCAAAATTCACAGCTGGAACAAGATTACATTGTCAGGGAAATTACATTATGTGACTTTAATTAACTGTAATAAGTGTACTCTTCCCACAGAATTTTAATTAGTGTCCCCTTCTGTTGATCAAGACCAAATCTTTTAAAGCTTTGGGTATTTCTTCTGTGTGTCAATACCCATGTAAAAAAAAATCTCTTTGGTGTTTGTGTTTTGCATACTTCTGTTTTATATTAATCAGTGTAACTGCCTTTTTATTTAGGTGTTGATCTCCAGATTTGTTCTTCTGAAAATCCAACATGCTGTACCAAAAAGATGGAAGAAAGATATCAGACTGCAGCAAAGCAAGATATACAGCAAGTGCTTCAAACATCAAGTGCTACATTAAAATTTTTAATATCTCATAATGCAGCTGCTTTTCAAGGTAAAGCTTTCTGCTTTTTGTTTCCAAACTTGTTAATACTTTTCTTGATTTATATATTTGATTATTTATGATGTAATAAAAGTTATCTATTAATTTTTAGCTTCTCCCTATGCTTTCAAATAAGGAGTACTAAATCACGCAGGTGATTAGAAGCTGCATTGCTTTTGGAATTTATGGCTTTAAAAAATTATATTTGCGAAAAAGTAGGAAATCATTCTAGTGAGATGCTTTGATTTTAATTGTAAACATGTAACTTCACATTCCTTTTAACTTCTGTGACTTGGGCTATACTAAAATGCAAAATTAATGCTTGGAGTGCTACAAAAGAGATTTATTTTTTATACCACTGTTTCCAACCACTATGTTCTTTGTCTTTTTCTAGTAAACAATCTTGGATAGTTTGTTTTTGAGATTTTGAGATTCTTTTTTCAGATCTAGTTTTTCAAACTCTTTGAGTTTGTAAATGTGATTAAAAAAAAATTACATGTTGAACCATAGTTATTTTAATAAACAACAGGAGGTTACCTGATAAATAAGTTATTTGGACTGGTGGTGGGGTTTCTTTTTTGTGATTACTCTTCTTATACTGTTAGTTTCTTTTTGATTTAATTATGCATAAGTTATTGCAGAAATTGGTTAAGGAGCTGAGAAGATGTGAAAATAGTAGAGATATGAGGGTTGTATGTGATGGAAGGAGATGCAGAGTTTACAGGTGTTGAGGACAAAGCCCTCAAGTCTTGTCATTTGTCTGTTAATATGTACTTATTAACCTTTATCGCCACTTCATTGGAAAGGATAACATGGTAACTTCATACAGGCTTGGGAAGTTGTCCTTCTGGCAACTCTCTTGTTTTTAACCTGCTGAAATAATTAGCAGAATGGGGTCCTGAAATGTAAAAATGTATAGTTGAGTTTGGAGTCCTAAAGCCTCTTTTTTTTTTTTTTTTTTTTTTTTTTTAGTTTAGGCTGTCTAATGCTAAAAACAAGCTGGAGTTAGAAGTTGCTCTCCACCTTTTGGGAGTTTTGACATTTAGCCTGCCTAACACAGCTGTCAAAGGGTGTTACAATTGATAAAATGTACAGAGAAATCTTTTCATCTCTTTTCTGCTTTTGTTCTTCCTTTCAAATTCTGTGTATTATCTTTTTCTTGGTACCATAAGAGTTAACCTAGAGTTCAGAACATATTACAATATGTTAAATTTGGTGTGCTGTCTTTGGTCCATCATTTGCATTTGAACAAATACTTGTCAAAGCATATACTTAAAAGCAAAATCTATTTGATATATCTTATACACTTCACATATTTTTTAGGTACATGCTTTAGTCTTTAGTAGTTTTGTCTTTATTTTCCTTTTAAGTAAAGAAGTATAACAGAGAGAATGTTGCATGGATTCTGGTATTATTTGGATTTAAAAACTTGTTTAACTTCAAAGTAATTATTTGTGGAAAAACATGTTATGGAATATACCCCTAATTTTTGAAGACTTGCAACCATTGCTGACTAAAATTAAAGCTGAATGATTGCAGATTCAAAAACAATAATAAGATGCTGCTGATGTTTTTTCAGCTTGGAATTCTAGGTACATAGTTAGACATTCTATCTGATCTGAATTCAGTTTTGATCCTGTTTTGAGCAGGACTTGGGGCTGAACACTTCTTTAAGGTCCTTTCCAATCTGAATTACATTATGGCAGGGTGCCTATCTCACCACCAAATGTTTAGGCATTCCTTTTATGTTTAGATGAGGCTGGGCTGGTCAGCTAGGAGTGTGATTATCTCTTCTGCTACTTTGGCAACTGGACAGACATTGCAGGAGGCACGCAGAAAGTGTGAAGGGGATTGTTGGGGTGTGTAGAAAATGGAGCAGATGTCATGGATTTTGTCACTGCTGTCACCTGCCTCTTCTTAAAGTATACTGGGGTTGGCCTTAAAGGGGTGGGCTAGATCCCAACCTAACAAATAGCTATTGTTTTTTTGTCTCAGTGTCGTATATGTTCACTAGAGAGAAATAGGCAGTTAAAATAAATGATCTGTGTCTGACTCTGGAGATCTTCAGAGGTGTGTTTCCATTCAGCATTAAATGCAGTCTAGGGATCCTGAGTCTTCAGGGTGTCTAACTACCAGGGACTTTATGATGACTGTGTTGGTGAAATGAGGCAGCTGTCTGCCTATCTGTCTATTAACTTGTTATGTGTGTGCATGTGTCTTTCTATGAGAGTAAATTAATCTAATTGACATATCTTTGTCACCTTCTAATGTGAAAATTGTGAATTTCACAGCACACCTTGTGAAATTTCTGTGGTTCTGTATTGTGGTAAGTGCTGCCTCCTGACAGTTACAATTGGCAGTTTTCAAATATTTCAAAAATTCCATGCATTTTAGGACGTGTCAAGCTACATGGTGCAAATTGCACCACTTGTGTACTGGGTCCTACTGAGTACTGTTAGTTTTTTCCTTATGTTTTGGAGTGTTTCAGAATGTGTGTATTCTTTTTCGTTGTGAATCTTCTATTTCTTTTTTAATAGCTTTGAGGAATAGTAAGGGAAGAGAAGGATGGGTGGCAATGAAGTTAAATAAGATATTAATCCGGTAAGTGGGAGATACATTATGGAGAGCAATAAATAATTTTTCGTTTGGGAAAGGTGACGAGAGAGCTTAAGCTGTATGATAATTTTGTTTCAAGACAGTCATTTTGATAGGATAACATTATTGCACATTTCTGATTTTTAGTATTTCTTATCTTAATATTTGAGGAAGAGATTGTTGCTGCTGTATAGGGATTGCTATAACATCTCCATTCTAGTAACCATAAACCCAAATCCTTTGTAAACCTTACATTTGCATGCCACAGACATGTCTCAAAATGCACACTCTCATTTTGTACTTTTTTTAGATGTTACTCAAAGTTCACACTGACCTTTGTCTATACCTGTAATCAAAAGATTAACAAGTGCCACCAGGGTTACAGTTCAGTCACGTTGCAGTGCTGGTTTTTATGTAGAGAAAAGAAATCCCTACAATTTCTGAAATTTGGAGAGGAATTGAATAGGCATCTAAGAATATGGTGATCTGCCGTAGGATGGAGTGCTCTGCAACAGAACAGCATATCTTGGGTCACTGCACTATTTTTCCACAAGAGAGCTCATAACCCTTTAAAAAGTGGCCATGCATGACATAGAACAAGATAACAACTTGTCTGTTGAAAAGGAAGTTTAGAGATAAGAATTTAGTTGTGGAGTCTAAAGCAAATGGCCTTTTCTTTGTGCTACTATATCTAGCAACTCTAGTACTGTAGCATAGTTTTTGTAAATATGGAAGCATCAATCATTTCTGGATGGTGCTGCCTGTCACTGAAACAGAGGACTTGGCAAGTGTGTGTCTGTATGCAATAGGTAATAAACTGCACTCTTCAACAGAGCATTACCTGACACTTCCACTGTGTAGGAAAAATTTAATGCCTTTGCCATGTAAGTTCTGAAGTGTTGGGAAGGATGAAAGTTTGACAAAAAAGGCTCACAGATATGTATGATTGGCAGGAAGATTTTTGAATGTAGAATCTGAAGAAGGAATAGAAATGAAAGAAATAGAATAGGAATAGAAATGAAGTTTTTATATAGAAGAAAAGAATTGATGAGCCAGTCTTACTGGATAACCAAGGAGGCAAAGGGTATGTGAGTTAGAAGGGGTTTTTATGACTCAGAGCAAAGGATAAGCCCACTTCAAACAAGATGTTTTTACCAAGCAAAAAGCTAGCACAGGCAAATAAGCCTGCCGATCTTGCAAGTAGAAAAAGTGTCTCAGAATTTTCCACTGCAAGAAAACTGAAATACAACTTCTAGCTTAAACTGTAATGTACTAATTTCTAGTGATTGGAGAATAGTAACATGAATATGGTAATTGTAGTAGTTATGATAGGCTATAAATAAAAGTTAAGGTATAGATTGGCTCTACTGTATTAAGATGCCCAGCAAAGAAAAGTGCATAATGCATTTGTGACCTAAGCTAAGTGTCTCCAAGCCTGCCTGCAGCTGGAGCTGACAGCTGTAGGCACAGGCTCTGTCACCCACGACCCTGGACTGCTGTAATGCTTTGGATGTACTAAACTGCATTTTGAAGAGCCACCTGGAGTCCTGCATCTCTCATTCAGGCTCTTACTGAAGTATATTGAATCAGGCTTTCTTGATGCAGTTTCATGTTTTTCTATGAAATTACTGCTATGCAGTAGATCAATTTCCACTTGATCCTAGAGTAGAATTAAATGAAGTCACATTGTTGCATCATATTGTTTGAGATCACAGTACAATTATTACATTCAAACAGGAAGAAGTTTTGGTCGGTAGCTAAAGTAAATTGTGTGAACTAGACAATGGGTTGAAATCTTCTGAGCTGCTTTGTCTGGTAAGCCATAAGAAATAATGGAATTTCTGTTCATCTTTGTGAAACTAAATGTGCCCTGGCACTAATTCAATTGCTTTCCACTTGTGAAATTTTCTGAAGAATGATTTGAAGATCAGAAAACTTCCAGCTAGAGCTGCTATATCTCTCATGGTTTCAAATGATATGCTGCCTGTCAGATCATTTGCAATACGAACTGCTTTGATGTTCTAACATTTTCTTCTTTCGCATCTCCATAATTCTTTGTATTTTAAGTGTGATATAAATAAGCCTAAATCTAAATACTGGTGAATCCCACTCCTTTTAATTAAATGAAATTTAGGGATTCTGTTAAAAGACAAAAATGTGGACAGGTTGAGAGACTCCATTTGTCACTCTGTTATATTGAAGGATGAGAGTCTCAAAAATATCTGTGGTTCACCAGAGTTACATTCCTCTTTCTTGATTGCTCTGCAGCCCTTCCCCACAGCAATGATCAGGCTACCCTCTGGACTGAAAAAGTAGGGAATTTTAATAACACAGAAGAATCATTATACCCACTAAGGAACTAAGGTCTAAGGAACAAAGCTGTTACACAGACTTCATTAACTTCAGAAATCATCTGT